CCCCCAACCGGACCACTCGATTCCTCAGCGGCCGGTCCACTCAGCGACCCTACTGGACCGCCATCGGATTCACCCGGATCGGGATCAGGTTCACCACGGCCTTGGTTTCCGCCGCCGCCGTCTTCGGGCGCGGCCGAGCCAGGGGCCCCGCCGCCGAGAAATGCTCCTCCGCGACCTCCCCCCGGTCCACCAGCGCCCCCTTCGGACGTGAGAGCGCCGTCGCCGACCGCCGCTCCCATTGCAGCAGCGGGAGCGGCGCCCGTGCCGCCCGGAGCCCCGCCGACGCTCCCGCCCCTTCCGCCGCCCGTGCTCGCTCGCCCGCCCATGCTGCCTCCGCCGCCGCCTCCTCTCCCGCCCGGGATGGCCGCGCCGCCACTGCCGCCGCCGCCGCCGCCGCCGCCACCGCCCTCTGGGTTGTTGGGGGCCCCGCCGCGGGCCCCGCTGCCCCCGTTGGGGATGATGCCGCCGCTCCCGCCGGGAGCGGCGCCTCCGCTTCCGCCAGGTCCGCCGCCGACCATGCCCGTGTTTGCCGACGACGGGAACTTCCTTTCCAAGATGCTCAAGGTAAGAATTGTAGACATGTGCTTTGGGTGTCCGTGACCGGGGTGGGCGCGCGCTACACAGCAGTCGATGTTGTTGGGTTTTTTTAATGGCTGTATGTGCACGGAAGTAGCTCGAGAAACAGCTGGTGACGTACTCTCTGTCGCGAGGCGCTCCGTATTCCCCCCCGGTCGGTGCGTGTACAAGTTTCTAGTCTTCATTGGGTGTACGGTAGTCTAGCGAAGAACAAACTGCTGCGGACCTACGCAATAGGCCCTGGCCGACAGAGTCGATTGGCAACAGCCTTACGACGCCAACGGGCTGGGAGCGTATTGGTCTCTTGCTGGTTGCGGGAAAACGTGCGGGGACCGTGTGGTTTTCGCGTACAACAGTGCCTTCGTTCTCGGGTGTACAGTACCTGGTACCGCGTTTCGAGGGATAGACTGCGAAAGTGGTAGTTTGTTTGTGGGTTGTGGTGCTGCGTACCGCATCATTGGCCACTCTTGCTTCTCTCTCAGCGCTCTGTCGGTACCGGTGTGGAGCTGGTGTCCCTCCCGTTTACATCGACAGGGCTAACTTCTTGATGCCCAGTTGGAGGTTTTGCGACACGACAGAGGCATATTCCCGAGACTGTCGTTTTTTTCGGAGCCTGTGTATCCCACCTGAGTGCCCCCCCCCCCCCNNTGCTCCGTCTCGGCATTGCAGGGATGCCAGGTCAATGATCTAACGAACATGGCATGCGTGTACGTGAGCACACACACACGCACCCTCTCCTTTTCTTTTGTGTGCCATGTGTGCTTTCCCTTCTTTTCAGGAGCAAGAGGAGCAAGATCGGAAGAAAAAGCTTCAGCAGGAGGAGGAGGACAAGAAAAAAGCCTTAGAGGAGGCTAAGCTGGAGAAGGAACGAGTGGTCAGTCGATTCGCTTCCATTGCACCGCGAAGTAATTACAAATTCCAGCTCTGCTGATTCTCTCGTGGCTGTTGTTTCATTTGAGAATATTTGTGGCCGTGTGTGGTCACTGCTGTTTAGTTCATCACAGCTGCAGTACCCCTGTGTTCTCTTGATCGTTAATGGCTCCGAGTATTACCGTGGAAGGGCGCTCGAACGTACAGGGTGCGATCAGCGTGTTGAAGGTCGATTGGTCAACAACCAAGAGGGTGCTATCGAAGTCCGGCCGACACGCGGAAGGGAAGCTAGCTCTCTGTCGACGAGATCGTTACGGAAGCATCCTGTCGGGCTAGAGTAATCCACGCTCTCTATACCCCTTGCGTTAAGACAACAACGATGATGAACACAAAGATGCACGACAATCACGGTTCCATCCGTAAGTGCTTCAACGATGATTTCATTCTCCGGCGTTGATGCCTACCATGATCATGGTTACATCGACGGCTGCTGCCTTTTTTGGCTGTGTTGGTCGCGTGATGGTGTCTCACGCATGCAAGTGATGATGATGATTCAATCGATCACTCCTAACCGTGTGGATGGTTTTTTTTTTGCCCGATTATGCCTCCTCCCGTCTGTCTCTACCCCTCGAACGCCAACAGTGCATACATGTGATGATCATGGTGCCATCGATAACTGCTACTGCTGTGTTGATCATTCTCGCGAGATTGTGCCTCTACCGATCTGTCTCTACCCCACACAGGCGCATGCCAAGAGGGTGGCGGCGGAGAATAAGCGCTCCCGCCGGTACCAGCTCGGCGGAGGTTTCGGCGGGGGCCGGTCGAGGGCGGCGCGGCCCAAGATGGGCAATGCGCGGGGTAAGGTGATCAAGGCTTTCGTCGCGGACAGCGACAGTGAGGACCAGGACAGCGAGGAGGTGAGGTAGATGGTGGGCGAGTTGCGCTGCTGGAGATGGTTGCTTTGGTCTCGGATGAAGTGTTGCGTTTAAGCCTAATGGTTGGTGTCGGTGGTAGTGGTGTCGTTACCAGAAAAGTGATTCTTGCGCCAAGGGGCTGCGACTTGAGCGTAGAGATAAGTAGCAGTGGAAGCAAGTGTTATTTTGGAATTTTCGCTACATATTTTCAAGGCTCTACCAAAACGTCGCGATCAAAGGTCCACCACCTCACATTCCAATCCATCAACCCCCCCCCCTCCCCCCATCCATCCTTCGGCCATCGCACCAAAGGAGGACGGTTCTAAGGAACATTCTTCCAAAACCGACAGCACTTCTGCATCCTCGTCTTCGGCTACTACGGGAGCAGTCGCAACAGGTACTCAATCCGGCGGATCAGCAGCAACTGCTGCTGCTGGTCAAGCTGCTGTAGCTGCTGCTGCTGCGGCGGCGTCGGCAGCAGCGGGGGGTCAAGTCGGGGTAGGGCTCGGAGCGGCGGTGGCTCTGTCCCAAGCGTCAGGCGGGTCGGACTTAGACGAGGAGACTAAGATCACCATCAGGCAGACGGCGGAGTGGTTCCATGCTAACCCGGACAAGAGCAAGGTGGGTGCTGTGTACATACTTGGTATGTTTCGTGGTGTGTGTTTTGCTGTTCCAAGGTTTGTTGTGTTGTGGAATTGTGTGGTGTAATGTTGGAATGAAATCCTGGTCTCCGTTGGAAGCGACGCGCTGGAAAGCTCGTTGTTAGAAAACTTGATCGACTTCATAAGTCGCGAGGGAAGGGATTGTTGTACCCTTCTCGCGATAAAAATATCTGAGGCAGGAACCGCAGGAGGGGGTCCAACCCCCCCCCTCCTATGTGACCCCGGTTGGGTCGTCTAGCTGGTAAAATTAGAGGATAGGGGCCAGAGGGGCAGACGACCGCGTCCAATGATGGGACAAAAAAAAGAAAGTTGTGTTGTGCTGCTCCATACCTGTTCAAGACGGTTTCCCATCGGCGCCGAAAAAGGATTTTGGACCCGGGGCCAGTCAGGCCAATCCCCTACTGAAACGATCCCCGAGGCTGTGAGCTTCCGTCGCTACCTATTCCACAAGACCTACGGTATGCACATAAGTATTGCTTCGACGATGCTGGCATGTGCTTGGGGGGAAGCAGTCTCGCGCAGCCGTCGAACCGGTGTGTCGCGACGACGAGGAAATTGCTCTGTTCTGAACTTTGTTACCCGCAACCCCGATGTTTTGTTCGCAATCCCCTGCGTATCCACATCCGATGCTCGAAATAACACAAGGTTATCATGGAGAAGAGCAGGGGGAATGCGCAGTTCAGCTTCCTGTTTGATGCGTCCTCGCCTGGGGGGCGCTTCTACAGACAGGTGCTGCGGGCGATGTCCCCTAATATGATTTACATATATCGCGGCTTTCAGCGCAATGGCCAGGAAAAAAAAGAACGCGGGTTGGGGTGCGTGGCGGGGGGGAGGTGCTCCAGTACAATGGCAGGCTTTTGCGGCGGAGATGCGGTCGTATCGCAGCGCACACGTTTCTATGTATACTCTTGAGGTCCTGGACGAAGTCACTGATTATTGTGTATGCCTCCTGTCTTCGCGCATAACATTCTTCTTTTTTTTTCATTGGCAGGTTTTGGACGAAATCAAGACCGAGGAGGAGGTGAAGCGGGTATGCAGCGGCTTCGGAGAGGCGAACGCCTCGGACTACGGTCCAACTCCCCAGGACGCCGGTAACGTCTACGGCCCGGGAGCCGGCCTCGCCGCTGCTGCCGCAGGCGGCGGCGGCGGCGGCGCGGGAGGGGGGGGGGCTGCGGGTGGAGTAACCCCTTCGTGGGCGGCCACCAGCGTGGCGAAACCCGTCGCGACGGCCGCGGCGTTTAGGAAGGGGGGGAACGGGGGGGCGCCGGGGGGGAACGCGGCGCAGATCGTTGCGCAGATCTCTGCACAGGTGACTGGCTGCTCTCGCGCGTTTGGGATTTCATGGGTTTACTGCAAGGGAAGGGAAGATGTATGCATGTAAGCAATCAATCACCGAAAGACTAGACTACAAGTACCTCTTCAGGATATTTCCCAATTCGGAGGAATGTCTTGAAGTCTTTTCAGGTTTTACGGAGGCGGGCCAAGTACTATCCTTAGCAGAAGCTTTCTTTTTTGTTCCTTCTTGTCGACAAACGCGAAACGCCTGCGGCGAAACGAACAGCCCGTCCTACCGCTGTCGCTACGGACCAAAACCGCAAGTCGTGCGCCTTGCTAACGTAACGACGGCCGTCGTCCCCGAACTCCAGTGCACTGGCTATCTTGAGATGGGTCTCTCACGGACGCGTCACGCTGTCGCTGTTTCTTGACGTTCCGCCCTTCTTCCCCCCCCCGGTACCAGGTGGCAATGCGCTCGGCCTCCACATACGGCCCCGCGCCGGTCGCGGCGGCACGCCCCCGAAAGAATCGCTGGGGGGCGGGGGCGGGCGGAGCGGCTGCGCCGGCGCCGGCACCGGTACCGGCAGCAGCGGTCGATGGAGCGGGCCGTGGCGGATTCGGGGGGGGCGGAAACGGCGTTGACGCGGCGTCCTCGGCTGCGGCGGCGGGGCTGGTTGCGGCGGCGGCGGCGGCGGCGGCGGCTTCGAGTGCGGGGAAGAGTGTTGTCGCCGCTGGCGGCGGTGCGGAGGGCGTGGGGCTGGGCAAGCGCAGCCGAGGCTTCAGCGAGGGAGGTGGGTGGGCTTATCATGGTGCGGTTGCTGGTTGTTCCTGTCGGTGGGAAATATGAACACCCCGTGTTGGTCTGCTCAAGCGATTAGCGTGTATAGCTCAGCCGGGGTTCAGCGACGGAGGAGCGTTGTTTTTTTCGGTGTAGATTCTAAAATAATTAGTGGTTTGCGGTGCCCGAAGATGTGTTGGTCGGTAATAAGTGTAGGCTGCAGATGAAGTGGTGGGTGCGCTTGAGGTGAAGCACTCGACATGGAGGGGGGGATCGCGCCTCGCGAAAAAATTGCACAGCTCTTAGGTGTTGAGTGCATGACCTCGTCCGCTACTGGAAAGACAGACGACGTTGTTTCTCAAGTTTCGTGTCGACACCGCCGTCACGCGTGACCGCCGCCGGCCTTAGGATACCGCCCAAATTTTCTCGTTTTGGTCGTGGGCGGTGTCGCAGCACTCCTATGCATAGGCGTTTACTCTGAAAACTCTAAAGTTGCGTGATATGAAGTGCGGCTGCTCTCGTCGGAAGGACGGAAGAATTTCACAAGAGCGTCGGAGCCTATTCCAGCGGGGGACACCGCAGAATGTCCCCTTTTCCAGCCCAGACCACTTTCAAATACGGAGGAGAGAGAGAGAGAGAGAGATGCGTACCGTCCTCCTTTTTGTGGAAACAATGCTCCATTCTCTCGAGTACGCGTGGTCGATGGCCTAGCAACTATGCCATACAAAACATGAATACCCCCCCCCCCTGGATCTGAACCGCAAAAATAACAGACTCCAACAGACCCCGTCGCGACGCAAAGAGTGCGGGGCTTGCCCTGCCTGAGACGATGGACGCTGACCAAGAGGAGCAGCTCCGGCAGCAGAAGGAGATGCAGCGACTGGAGGCGAGAGTAAGGGAAGCTGCGGCTCGTCAGGCCATGCCGGGGGCCGGGGCGGCGGCGGCCGGCGGGAAGCCGGAGGGGGAGGCCGAGAGGCGCATGCGGGAGCTCTACGAGGAGAGGCTGAGGGAGTACGGGGATCTGGCCACGGGGGACGAGAAGGAGGAGGAGAGGTGCGAGGGATGAGGGCGTCCGGTGCCTGCCTGTCTGTTTTGTGCGCGCGCGTGTGTTGGTGTCACTACTTCCGAGTATATTCAGCATCGACAGTGCTAGCCGGCTGACCCATGCAATATCGTCAGTGTGTTTGTGTCCACCAATTATCCCCATCGAGTTGCGTTGCGAGATACAAGTCGGTGCCTGCCTGCCTGCCTTGTGTGTGTGTTTGTCCACCGATTACCCGCACCGATTAACCCCGTCTGAAACGTGCGCGCGAGCACATGATTTTGTACGGCTCGTGCCAAGAGACAAGTGGCGATGTTTGCACACGCCGTGAAAATCGATCTCCCTTCCCCTTTGGTAAGGGGGAAGGAAAATGACGACGCTCAGAAGCACGAGTTAACTACTGCTTACTCCTATTTTCGTTGTTGTTGTTGTTGTTGTTGTTGTTGTTCATGATGTCGACGCTTGGACGTGATTTCAAACAGCACATCCCGTAAATGTCGTTTTCGGGATGTCGACGCTATCAGTTCGGGGCTTCACGTGATGTCAATACAACGTTCACGGGAACAGGCATGTGTTGTTTTCTGGGATATCGACTATGTGAGTCCGGGGCCTCACGTGATGTCAAAACACTGTTTGCAGGGACACAGTGGAAGACGCCGAAGCTACCGGAGGCGTAATCGACGGGGGCACGTGGGAACACCGCAAAAGGGCCAAGGAGATGCTCAAGACGGCGGAGGGCGCGCTTAACGTCACCCTGCAGGCCAAGGGCGCGCATCATATGGGCCAGTACCTACCGAAAGACGTGAGTAGACGCCAAAAATCGCGGCGTGTGACACCGACTAGCTCTCAGTTCACGTGTTTTTTGGTGGGAGTGGACCTGGATGCGCTCTCGGAATATGAGGCATGGGGCGAGTTATGTTGTGTTTGTTGCTATAGAACCGAAATCAAACCGTTGGGCCAGTCAGCATCCACCCGTTGATGCTCCCATGAGCGGCCCGGGCGAGCGGAAGCGCGCGCGCTTCGGGACGTGCATTGGTGCATGCTTTTGCGTGGTTTTGAGGAAAAGGGGAGGGCGAAGGTAAGGTGAAGGGATTCCGCGTCTTGTAGTTGTACATGGAAAAGCTCCTGTCGTCACACAGGGCGCGGTAGTCCACCTCCTTGCCTTCGGTACCCCGTTGTGTTTCCTTGAACCTAAACGTTGTATTTGTTGGTCGGTGCAAGCGAACGCACCCCTCTCCGGCCCGCGCCCGCTGCGGGCACAATTCCTTGAAAATGTGCACGCGAAGGACACATCATGCGCTAGCTCACTTCTGTCGTACAGATCACCCCGGAGCAAGCTTGCTTAGATCACCTTATGTCCTACCGGTCACCAAGGAGAAAACTTACTCAGATACAGCCATGTCCCACCGATCACCAGGGAAATACTCTTGGAGAGAGCTAAATAGCTCGCTCTGCAGGGATCTCATGTGTCCAACATTTGTGTGAAATTGTGTACGCCCCGCAGGAACTGGAGTGGTTCCTCAAGAAGTCGGGCAAGGCTGCGAAGGGAGATGAAGCCGAGGCCGAGGAAGACTTCGAGAAGAACAAGCTGGCGGAGGACAACATAGGCTTCCAGATGCTCAAGAAGGCCGGGTGGACGGAGGGGAAGGGGCTGGGCAAGGAGGGGGAGGGCACCGCGGTCCCGGTTAACATGGCAGCCGGCGCGGACGGGGCGGGCGTCGGGGTGAAGGAGACCCACGAGGTGGCGGAGGGAGACAACGAGTTCGAGCAGTACCGGAAGCGGATGATGCTCGCTTACCGCTTCCGCCCGAACCCCCTCAACAATCCTCGGCGGTCTTACTACTGACGGGTTAGGGGTCGCGGGTGACCCGCAAAATTTGAAAGCTTTGACTGCGATGTAAATGCAGGCCGTAGTCGTTTAGACCATCGGCCTCGCATCCTGACAACGCCGGGTCGGAGCAATGTGGGTAGCCGGGTTTTCCGCAGACCAGGCTCGTACGTTTCACGACGTTGAACCAGAGCTGGTTGTCATCCGTGTGTTTGCTGTGCCAATATCCAGATATGCCATGGGTTGATTGGGCATCCCGGTTTAACCAAACGTTTCGCACACAGGAGGGGAGGGGGGAGTAAATATCCTCGCTGTCGTACTTCCGTGGCCTTCTCAGGCCTTGGACTCGAATATCAACAAAGAGGGGGCGACGTACATGAGGGTTCCCGGGGGCGGGGGGTATCAGCGCGCACGTTTCAGCTGCGGGGACCTGGCTAGACATTTTTTGTTGCCTGTTTTGTCTTGAACGGGGATTTCATTGAATCCACTTATTCGTCCCCGTGTTTCGCTTGTGTGTCCTCTAACCCTCCCGCAAATAACGCCCACTGCTAGTTTTCACCGCCGGAGTTGGGCGAGGTTCGGGTTGTTTGTGTAATGGCCTAGGGACACGGGATCTGGTCCGGAGAAGAGGCGTTGATTGGGTGCTCATGGCGTAGACATGGGCTTTTTTTGTGAATCTGGGACAGATTTGGTGACAGGCGTTCGTCATTGCTTCCGACGTTTCCGGACTGGACTGAGCAGGAGAATAGGGGAAGCGTGATTTACGGTGTCAACATATACACAGAAAAACAGGACGGCAGTGTTTAGTGCTGTTGTGCCTCGTTGATGGGACCTTTTCGGCTACCGATTAGGGGCCGCGTGGCGCATCCCCAAGCCCTGCATCGATCGGGATTGGTGGTTTGGCATGCGCCGGTCATGCGCTCAAATCACACAGCAGGGCAGCCTTTGGCAGGACAAGCTCGAATTCTACTTTGCTCAACATCAAGCATCATCTGTTGAGAGGTTGTTTGAAACAAATGCATTGGATTTCATGAAGCGCATGGCAAAAAGAGATCGTTGTGCGCGAAAAGAGAGAGAGGACAGGTGCCCGCAGTTTTCTGATTGGCCAAACTTTCCAACGGATCGTTCCAAGGAATGTCCGAAACTCCATGATTGACCGATGGCGTCATCCACGGTCGAGGAGTCATTATTTTTCGGGGAGATTATTTCCTTGACGAGACCGTTACGGTCTCTGAGGCACTAAAGGAGTTACATGATCACGTTCACTCCGAAGCTCCAGACCATGCACTTTTCGGACCCGAGCGCCCGGTTGATTTGGCTTCAGCATGAAAGTGTCCCCACGTGTTTTGGATACACTTTTTATCCTGAAGCTAAGTCACCCTTTGTAAGGGGCTCGGATTCTTTGGAGGGACTGTTGCCCCTCGACCAATGGCTGACAAATATTATTTAAAAAAACATTTTGGGGACAACGACACAGGGTACACCCTGGTCGAAAAGCGACACACCTGGGTACAGTCATTAACAGCAATAAATGCACTCACATCATTGGTCAGTGCCCCATTTCACCCCGGCGCGTCCGACAAGGCGCAAGGTATACCCTGCCGTGACTAGGCTGCTTTTCTCAAACTATACCGTGCTTTTTTTTTGCCTTGGCGTGAGCATTCGCTTCTTCTGGGGCTGCCTGAGCTTGTTGGTATTAGTGCTGTCCAAGTCACTCATACTGACACTGAACTCTCTCCATGAAGCTTTGGTTGAGAGCGATGATTGCAAGGGATCGACGACACCCTCATTCCGAATAATACCGCTTTGGTGCGAACACGAGAGCTTCATTGACGGTTGCTTCCGTTGTAGGAAGGAAACAACGTAAAGTTGCACGTGGTGGTCGGAATTCCCCAGCCTGAATAAAGTCGGAAGTGCTCGGTTGTGAACGTGGAAGGCATAGTCTAAGGACGATCAGACAGTGGACGGTATGATCGAACGCTTTGTTTGCCAGCACGCCAAAACCAGTAAAGAAGTACGCGTTTTTTCACGTGACCGCCGAACGCAAGAAGTTCAAAGGGGGGAAGCATTCCTCCTTCGTCCCTCGGCGTCCACATGCTGCCAAACGCCAACGTGTGGAGCAAAACTACAAAAAACATTTTTCATGTTTCGCCCGAATCGCTAGAAAATGTCGCGAGCCAACGTAGAGAAATATCTACACACCCGACATGACGAATGAGGGACAACGACCAGAAACTCCCAAGGAAACATCCTGCCGAAACATCTCCACTTCGCAATTCTAAGAACAGTGAATACAAACTTCTTCGAATGAAACAGTTGCAATAGCTTGCATTTTACAATGAACGATGTTATTCTCTCCTCTACACGTACGTATGCAACTAACTACAGATAGCGCCCGCACTTGAGAACTTAGCAGTCAAGAAATCGAGACTCGTAAAAAATCAGAAGCTAAGAACTTGAGCACTATTTGTGAGCTCGGTTAAGAACCCCACACTAAAACCCATATAGCGGCCATTTGTAGCCCATAAGGGGATGATCAGCAAAATAAGAGCCCCACCCTCGGCCGAAACAAGAGGTTCTTAAGTACGGGCGTCATCTGTAACATCATCTCCGTGCATCCTATTCTGCGCGAATGAGCTCGTTCCCAGCAACCAAGCAAAGGAGGAAAGAGTACCCCCCCCTGTTAATGCGTTCAAAGCTAGCGTGTGTTGGTATGCAGGGCAACTATCGTAATATACACGCGACCCTCCATGTCGTACAATCCAACACCCGAAGACGCATGTATCTCTTTGGAATCTCCACTACGCACGCAAAACGTTGGTTATCTGCTTTATTACCATTTTCCAGCTCAAAACATTGTCTCTACAACAGGTGGCGCCCGCAGTTAAGAAACGCGTACTTCAGGTCCAGCCTCGAATTCTTCTTGTGGGCTATAAACTCAGCGTATGTCGTTCCGTTTCTTATTTCAAGTTTTTATTTTTTCGTGCAGCCAAATCCTGCTGAGTTTCTTAAATCGGCAATTTCTTTTTATTTATCTGCTTGCATACTACACAACGTTCCAAATATACAAATGATTTGCACTGCTTTCCTCGACCCCCGTACTCAACCCCGATTCTCACTACCGACGGCTGCACGTAAGGCCACTCCCTAGAAGCGAAATGTATCCAGCGGCAACGTCTCGCTATCGCTACAAGGTCCTGTACCCCCCTCATGAGTGAGGGCTGAAACTAAACAAATGCATCAACACCGCATGATGTCTCACCCGCACGCTGACGTGCCCAACAACGAAAACTACCCCGTCATTATGATGCAAGCTCCGTGAGGCGAACATTGGGGGTTGTTACCCTTTTGCGCCCCCCGCTCCCTTCCTATCTTTTTGAGACATTTCTTGTGTGACCCAGATTAAGCTATGTTTTTTAACCCTATTTTCTTATTTTTGGTGAATAAGCGAGCCTCAATTTCTTAACAAAATATTTCTTAACTACGGGCGCCAACTATACTACACTACAGTACTGTAGTTGTGCACCCTCCTCGTCATTCTCGTTCACTCCACATCAACATTCACTCACAAAATAAAAACACATGAAGCCAACGTATGTATGTAGGGAACCCCTCCCCCTCTCTATCCACACGACGCTGCTACCAGTCTGTTCGGGAAGAGTGTAGTCGACATTTGGGCAAGCGGGAATAAGTCGACATTTCTATTTGTGTGTGTTGGCAAAGATGGGGCGAAATCACGCAATATCTACGTCTTTTCATTGTTCGGCCGGTTAGCGCGGTCGATGCTAATTCGAAACACACAGAGACACGAACCACGAGTGCAAAGAACAGCCTCGGTACATGGGCACGTCACGTGTAATTTTTCTTTGTTTCCTGCCTATCTGTCTTCGTTCCGGATAGCAGTATTGGTTCCCCTCATGCCGCCCCCTCACGGGGTCCCAGATCATGGCCTTTAGAAGCGCTTTCCGTTTCCAGCCGCACTGAGACTGAGGTCTTCTAGTGGGTCAGCTGGTTAGCGCAGTCCGTGCTAACTCCGAACATGCAGCAAGCGGAAAACACGAGCACAAAATCAGGCTTGAAAGATACATACCATTTGTCATCTGCTACCTTCATGTCTCTGTTGTTGTAGCCTTCACACATAATACCGTTCCGATCTCTCTATCCAGTGCCTTCATCTGTCCGTGCCGGTCAAACACTTGACCGGTGGATCCCCTCCGGGACCCGTGGTCACAGGCTATTTTACCAAATAAATGTTCTCAAATTAAACGATTTGGAGAACAAAATAGCCTTCCCCATGACGTTCTCACGGATCATTGGGCTCAGAAGCCCATTTCCGTTTTCAGCCGCACTGAGACTGAGCTGACGTCTTGCAGAAATCAGCGGATGAGCACGGTCGAGGCTGCTTCAAAACAAACACGCACCACACACCCGCAAGGGCGCACTGAAATGCGGTCGACAGACTTCAAAAAATGGAACGCTCGAGGGCGACGAAGTGGACCACCCTCCACACAAGGGACAACCCCACCAGCGCGCAGCACCACACCGCGACGCTCACGTCATTGAAGTTTGTCCCACCGTGGCTGAGCGAGTCTAGCACCTGCCAAGCGCGTGTCCGGCCGGTTGGCACGGAAGTGGCAAGAGGGAGTCGTAGAGCAGGCACGAGATCACGGGAAATAACCACACAAGAAACAAACGTTTTAGGCAAAATTCCAGCACGTAGCCAAATGTTTGCTACAGCAGTAGTTCAACAGATCAAGTACCAGTTCAAGACGAGTATACTTCGAGCGGTTGTGTTGATATCTTTACAACGAGGGTTTGGCGGAGACAAGCGGGATACTGGACTTCTTCGCGCCTGTAGTTCGTCTTCACTGCCGTACCTTGACAAAAACGATACAGGCTACAATTCGTGCTCGCCTGCTCTCCGGTCCTTCCGTAGCAAGTGACACACGAATCAAACCCTCCGTAAGTCTGGCCGTCGAAGACGATCTTCACCATAGCCTCCCATGAGTACCTGCGGCGTACCGCGTGCACCCACCGAGTCCGTTCGGGCGTGTATTCTCTCAATGCACACCCAGGAGAGTTGGGGGGCTAGAGCCTTACAGATGGCGCCCGCACATAAGAACCTCTAGTTTCGGCCGAGGCTGGGGCTCTTATTTTGCTGATCATCCTCTTGTGGGCTACAAATGGCCGCTATATAGGTTTTAGTGTGGGGTTCTTAACCGAGCTCACAAATGGTGCTCAAGTTCTTAGCTTCTTATTTTTTACGAGTCTCGATTTCTTAACTGCTACGTTCCTAAGTGCGGGCGCTATCTGTACGTTTCGCGAGTGCTTGGTACCATGTTAAGGAGGAGGGTGGGGGACCGCCCCGAAAGGTGGGGAGGAATATCCCCCCCCCCTGGTCCGGTGAGAACCCGTAGTGCTCCGTCCCGGGTTTGTAGGGATGCGAGGTCAATGGTCTAACGACACGGCATGCACGACTATGAGTACACCCCCCCCCTTTCGTCGCTTGGCAACGACGTTGTAAAACTAGCCAATTCACTTCGTGAACTCGGCAACCAGGTTACCGTTTTTTTTCACCTCTGTTGGTTTTTGGCGGTAACCATAATGGTGATCGAGTAGATCATGTTGTGCTGAGTCGAAAACCCTCACTCCGCTCAAGGGGGATGATCGAACCACGTTGTGTTGAAATGGCCAAGCACCCTCGAGGCAGTTACACAGTGCTTACAACTGTCTCTGGAAGTGAAAGCACCAGAAAATAAA